GGTATCTTTTTCCTTTGCTCTTGCAACAAATATTGGTATTCATATAACAAATCGGCTGCAAACGTGAAAAATCATAATAATCATAAATAAATTTAATATTACTTTTATTATATATAATCTGTTGTATTATTTAACCCTTTTATTCTCTTTTCTGCAATTTTCTTTAGATTTATTTTTTTTTCCTTACTAGAGCCTAATGATACCTTATATTTCATCAAAGTGTATACGCTACTGAGGACTTCTACGGATAGCTTAGTGCGGATGCACTGGGACTGCCCAACACTGCTCTGAAGTTTTAGTTAAATATGTAGTCAATGACTATTATTTATTTATATTTATATACAAGTGTATGTATTTTAAATAGAAGATTATTACATGTTTTTATTAACTATAAATGATTGTGAATTAAAACTTGCTACTCTTCATCAGTAGCTGAATTAACAAATATATGTCATATAAACAAAAAATTGATATATAACCTTGTAACTTCATAATTTCATATGTAATTAATTTTCATAAAAATATCATGTGTATTTTTACTAGCTTCAATATTGAATTGAATATGTAATTCAATGTATATTTCATTGAATTTCCTGTAAAATTTTGTCTATGTACTGAAGAATACAGTTGCGATTTAAATGTAATAACATATTTGGAAAAGAAGAAAAATTGATATTCATCATACAATAATTGGTATTCATCGTATAAATCATGTTTGGGAAAGTAACATGTTTGATAACAAATAATCTCAAGATCCCATCAACTGATAATTTCAAGGTTATATAAATGATAAAACTTTTAATTGTTTTAACTCTTCATTGGATGCGGATTTAATAATACAGTGTATATTTGGTTAATAGGAACAGAATTACATTTGCTTGGTCAGTGCTATTTTATTACAGAATTTTAAAAATGATAAAAACATTTATATTCTTTGACCTGGAAACAACGGGCTTGATAGGAGCTACTATGCCAAAGATTACTGAAATGTCATTAATTGCAGTGTCAAAGAACGCTATATGTGAAACTATGCACGATTTGCCAAGAGTCCTACATAAGCTAGTTTTGCCGATACATCCAAATATAAAAATTTCAGATAAAGTTAATAAATTAACAGGTATTTTATGTTTAAGAATTTTCAGTAATAAATTTGTACTATATTATATGAATTTATTCTACATTTGTACTTTTATTTTAGGTTTATCTAATACAAGTTTACAAGAAGTTCAAAATTTTAACTGTGAGGTATATGATTTAATTATGCATTTTATAAATCGACTATCAAAACCAGTTTGTTTTGTAGCCTACAATGGAAACAAGTTTGATTACCCAATATTTTTATCTGAACTTAACAATGTTAATAAGGTATATACAAGTTTATGTTACAATAAGTTTTAAATTTATAGATACCCTAATTTTGTATTTTATTAGAATTTCAGTGAAGATATTTTCAGCATTGACATGCTTGAGCTAGTAAGAAATTATTTTTCAACAAACAATAAAAGTGTTACACGAAACACTCCTTCTATGTCTAATACTGAAGATGTTAGTAGTTTGTTAAATGATGGCTGTGATGAAATGTTATGTGAAGCAGCGGATTCTATTACAAGTTCAACCACTGATGACCATAACGAAATTAAACAAGTAGATGAAGAAAATAATTCTTGCTCTAGTAGTGGGCTTAACACTCCAAAACATAGCTATTATAAAAAAATGCAAGAGATGAATGAAAAGACACCTGAAAATCAAATTTTTAAACTACGAGATGCAAATATAAATTTGTACAATGGAAAGATATGCTCTGCAAGAAGAAGATTACCTTTTACACATAAACTAGATAATTATAAATTATCGACTGTTGCTAAACATATTTTAGGAACTGATCCTGAAAATGCTCATACTGCAGAAGGGGATTGTATTACTATGTTACGTTGTGCAGTTAAGTTAGGTGACGATTTTGTTGAATGGGCTGAAAAGAGAATGACACCTTTCGTTAGATATGAGAGACATTAACAGATATACATCTGTAGCATTTTTATTCATGTTTTCTCTAACATATTTAGATTTTAACATTATACTTGTACATTTTATGGAATAAGGTAAATACTTGAAGCATGTTATTTTATTTTACTTTCAAAAAGTACATATATCAAATCTGTGTAAATATGTACAATTTTATTGTTATAATGTTTATAATAAATATTTATTAAAAAACTATTGTGATACTGTAGCTATTAAGTAGGGTAGTTAATCATTGATATACAAAAATTTATAAAATATCATTACAACACTACACAACTCCAACTCTGCTGCAAGTTTTCTGTATCTTCTTCACTTGAAGAGCTGTAAGCAAACACAATATACTTATTTGTTTCGTCATATTTTATTATCTCGCATTTAATACTTACTTGTCAATATTACTAGTAAATACATCAATTAACAATGTCAATTCATTTCTTGTTACTGTAATTTGCAAAAATAACGAATGTATTAAAAATATATATACATACATTCATATAGTTTAATAATATGCAAAGTGACTTACATATGTATTTAGCTAAAATAAAATCATCTTTCATTGCGTTTTTTTCAATATTCTTTATAATGTTATTCAAACGTGAAGAAATATTAACCATCTCAATCATTGAAATTTTTTCTAATAAATTATACGTTTCATCCCAAAAAAATGTTATTTCATGACATGCACAAGCACGATATAGTTCTTTAAGCATCTATAAATACCACTCATGCAGAAATGAAGTTATTAGTCTAATATTAATCTTGTATATTTACTTTACCATATAAAAAAATAATGTCAAAGGTATTCTGTTTAAATTATAACTTAATTCGTTCAATTTGTTCAAGAATAATGTTTCAATATAGTAACTTGCTATACTTTTCCAGTTTTGAACATCCCTTAACTTCTACAAATATAATAATGTCATAATATAACGTTCATACGATCAATGCGATTACAATATTATTGATATTGTGCAAACCTTCATTTGCCTTATAACAGGTTTCATTCGGCCATACTTTGAAAGAAGTTCTTTTTCTTGATTGCAGAATGACATTCTCCAAAATAATCTTTCATTTGTTCCCTTAAAAGGTAATGGAACTGCATACCATATTTTACTTCGATACTGAAAGCAAAATTATTTTGTAACATAAAAGTATAGTCAGGAATACTATATTCCTTTATTGAGATAGAAATGACTTTATATCTTCTAAGTATGCTCACTTAATGTTAGTTAAACTGTTGTGTTAGCAAATATTACTTATTATATAATGTAAATGATAGTATAGTTTACTGACCTCTTGAAGTTGATCTAATTTTTTTAAACATCCCTCAAATAAAGATATATTAAAAGCTAATACAGGAGCCAAATCAACATATATAATATCATATACTTCTGGAATGTCTATTATTAAAGTAAATGCTGGACCACTTTTTTTAAGTCTAATATTAGCAAAATAATTATTCTCTTCACAAGAACATGTTGATAATTCACTAATAACTTTACTGATAATTCCTTCGATCCATTCACGAAATTTATCTGGATTTAAAAGGCTTTTTGTAATAAATTTTTTGAGCAACCTGATCAACAGTGATAAGTACAGTGACATTAAATATTATACATATGTCTTATTTACACAACATATTCCATAATATATTTGTCTACCTTTTGGATTTATCTGGAAAATCATGATATATCTTTTTATCAAATAAGAATAAATTATCTTCTACTTTTATTTGAACATAAGCTGCTTGTGTGGCATTATACTAAAAATATATAAAGAAATACAAGGATAAAATAAGGTATTCACATTAATATTTATAATATCCAAACAATGCATGAACAATATTCTTACAATTATTTGATTAACAATAACAGGAAGTTCCATAACTATATTTAAGTCAAATTCATTAGGATGGCCTACTTTTGTTCCTTTATAAAAACTGCCACAGAAAATGATTTCTTTAAATGTATTTTTAAATAAAGGATTCATTAATTTCATTTGTTCTATTACTTCACTAATAACCTATTAATTTACATTAATAATTTATTATTAAACATTTGCTATACCATTGTTGTAAAAAATGCATACAACAAGATTGTTGAAAATACATACTTGAAATAAATACACATTATTCCTTTTTACCTCCGCATCTTGTAATGATATAAATTTTTTATTGATTTCATTAAATATAGTATCATCACAAAATTTTTTTTTTAACTGTGTGTTTTCCATCTGTACATAAATATAAAGTATCAAAATTTAAAAATAAGTATTTAAAAAGTACAAATCTTGAGTGTTAAAATTTTATATTATAAAAATTAATAATAATTAATTGCAGATGTAAGAATTAATATACAGATTAATATAACTTCAAATAATATAAAAAAAAAATTTCTTCCGTATTTTATAAAATTAATATTGCAGATAATTTACTTGACACTATTTAAACCAATTGCATTTTACATGGAATAATTGTTTATTAGTAAAAATTAAATTTTGTGTTACATATACATGTACACATAATAACTTACAGTATTCTCTTCAATGAAAACTATATTCAATTGTGCTTCATATAAAACTATAAAAAATCTACAAAACTTAAACACAATGAATACTGTTTGAACTGCTCCTGAAAAAAATCAACTTATAAAACGAATGTACGTATCAATTCTTAAGTAATTTAAGATATTTAATAATATTTAATATATATTTAATAACAATAATGTACTACTAGATCGCGGTAAGGTATATGCACTTGTCTGACATTCGCGTGACTAGCCTGCACGTGCAAACTGCACGCATTCAACGTGTTCATGCAACTGACTATTGGACGGATCATGCCTCACATTTATGTACATATACTGTATAATGTGAATGTGTGATATCATAAGCACGATACCATTTTCCTTTTCATTTTCTTTATTTTTAAATGATATCTATTTATACAATTTAAGTACTAGAATGTTTAGAGTTTTATTAAATAACACTGTCCAACAAATTTTAACTTTTTTCAACGTTTTCAATCTATGATCCGTTTGTCTCCAGTTTATTTTGAGAAATTTGATTTGAAAAATAGGCACATTTTTCAAATTCACATCAATTTCGTGAGATAACTATAAAAGTTACTAAGATTCTGTTTGTACCGGAAGATTCTATAGATTTCTCTCAATACAGCAGTATCTGCTTTTTTACCTAATAGTATTAATGATTAACCTCTTTGTTACGACCGACTTGGATAAAAGAAAGTAACTTTTAATGCCTAGCAAATAGAGACAACATATATATTCTGCTTTACCAAAGTTAAAAATAAATACGAAATTTAACAAGCAATTCAAGGAATCTTCAGTGCATAGCAACCTTGAGTGAATATAGTTATTATTCGTAGCAAAGAACTTGAACCGCGAAACAATCTAGGATCGTTTAAGCGGCTCAATCAAATCCAATACTTTCGCACAAACTGATCGCAGCCTTTGCAAAGCGTGATCACTGATTTCATCGTGCTTCTTTGAGATATCGTTCAACTCGTCGCATATTTTATTCACTTGTCCATCCAGATCATTCCTGGATGCATTTTTGTTCGAGTTTTCAACCGATTGAGTTTCCAGTTTCGCGAGTTTCTCGTCCCTCTGAGAATCCTCGTAGCTGCAGCAAACATGACAAACGTTGTTAGCGTTCCTAGTCACGTATTGCAGATAAAATTTGACATGAGAGAAATCTTGCAGCTCGTAATAAGTTGTACCGGAAAGATACGCCGGTAAAAAATCGTTTAACAATGACTTTCTTGTGACGATAGCAGCCATTGTTCTAACGAGATCCTCGTTTGGACACATATGAGCTACATGATCGAAAGATTCCAAGGCTTCTTGTCGCACCCATGGATTTTCGTCTTCTAATAGTCGACAATTTAGCTCCGCTAACGCGTTCGAACTTTTGACGCCACAATTTCCAAAAGAATTAATACTGTTTCTTAAATAATGCGATGCCATTACTTTTACGTGCGGCGAGAAGCATAAGAAGGATGCTAAAACAGCTTCAAGGATCTGAAATCATAACATTTCATTGGTTAATAATATTGGTCAATAGAGACTCCTGCAGAATAACATCCATCCCATTGATTTTAATAACTGATATATTTTATTAAGATTAATATTTTAAATAGTACTATCTTCAAGTCTCTAAATTCTTATATTTTTGAATCTGTACATCCTCAAATCTCTGTCTCTACTACTTAATTTCTATATCTTAGATACAAAATTATCTTCACATTTCTAGGTCCTTAAATTTCTAGATTCTTATGTTTCTGAGTTTATACAATTACTGACAAATACTAATAAATTGAGTATTAGTAAAATAAGATTAGTTTGAAAGGTGTAGTTCAACATAATCATAAATCGTAGAAAAAAAACACGTACTGTAAAGAACGTATCGTCCTGAATGGTTTTAGGTTTCGTAGCACTGAAGAATTCCAACATAAACTCCGACAATATATCCAGCTGTCTCCCTTCACAATATTCAATGGTGTTTGCGATAGAGTTCCATATCTGTGATAGCATATCAATAGCATGCTTTTCGCCTGCGTAATCCAGTTTGCCAATCATGGGCATCAGCATCATCTTGTCATGGAAGGAAGAAAGTAAAATTGTACAAATTTTCATGTGATATAAAAGTATTAAGAATGACACTAACTTCAATTTTATACACATTTTTAAACATATTTAACATAATACTCAGGATATTTATAAACGATTTTATCGAGCAACTACAAAGTTATAACAGATTAAGCAAATCTTTAGGAAAATTGTTTATACCGATTTTCTAGTCATTTCATATAAAAGAAACTACAATCGACTTTTATCGACCAATCAAATTAAAATTCCCTTAATAAATATTAACTTACAATACGATTCCAGTTTTGTACAGTCGGTTGTCGTTGCAGTTCCAAGAACGCATTAGGAATGTCATCAATTATGCAAGCTAAACGATTCTGTATAAACGATTTCGTTTTCGATGGAAAAAATCGCGCGAGCGGCAACCAAAATGGATTCTCAAGATCCTCCAGCTCCGTCACAATATCGTGTCTCGTATCTTCGGACAATAAACTATACAATCTTCCAATTAAGTTCTCCAATACGATCACTTCAAAACTATTACCGCGCTTCGTAAAAGCGGCATAAACTTTCAACAAATATTTTACGTGACTAGCACACAGCTCCGACGAACCGATGCTGCAAAACGAAATACAATATTTAGCATAAAAATAACATTTGCAATGAAATATTTCATAGTTACTTTTACTTTGACGCAATTGAAATTCAATATTGTGTTATCAGAAAAAGGAAGAGATCTAATTATAACAAGGATCATTTGTAAATAAGACGTGACCGGTGGTCTCAACAGGCGTACTGTTTCATGATTGCCGCGCAATAAGCATTCAGAATCGATGATTTACGAACCGGCCAATGAAACACCAGACGTCTGAGCTCAACAGAGAGCTCCATAGCCGAATACTTAGCAGGTGTTTCAATAAAATTAACTCGATGGCATGAAATCCGTCCGCTGGAATTTGGCTGATCAGACTGCAGATTGGTACCAGTGTAGCTTCGTACAGTGAAGCTTGTCGTGGTCTCTCTCCAATTTCGTGGGCACCTGGTAACTTTACTTCACCCACGCAGATCTCTTCCTGTACTTTTTAGAACAAGATCAATCTAATAAATTAATTAAAGTACAAGGAAGAAGATATCAAAATAAAATACAGGCTAAATTATCGTTGATGTACAATATGTTTAGAATGAAGGATGTGATGATTAGTATGAAATAAATTAATAACGAAATAACTCTTTAATATGTATGAAAAATAGTAGAAGTTGAAACACTATATTTTTAGCAAGCTTTCAAAACTCAATCGTCGTGTGATTTGTCACATTTGAACTGTAATGCGCGTCACTCATTCAATGTTATCAATCAAGTACAAAAAAAAATTAAAAAGACTTCAATCATCTCAGCTGTGCAGAATCTTGTCAATGAACAGTTGATCTGTTCAGTCCTAGGTTTCCCCGTTTCGATATTTCGAAGAATATAACTTGAAAGTTACAATCAGGGAAAAATTCAGGAATACTTACTATCGTCAATGTTCGATAATGCAATATCGATGATTGATTCCGAGCCCAATGTCCAATTACAGTGCTGTTCGTACGGCATACTGATCAGTTTTTTCATGATGTTAATTATTAATAAATGGTAGCCCAATTTGTCGATTCTTGTTTGACTGCCATACTCGAAGAATGTCTGAAGTATTAAAAGAAAACTGAAATCGAAACTAGTCATCGGATAAAATCGATAAATACCTGTTTGAAATCGGGTGCTTCAAAGACGGTATTTAGAAATGGCTCTGCGCCCCTCGAGATGTGAATGTTTATTAACTCGATCAGTTTGCTGTAATTCTGTGTTTCTTTCAAGCACGAGGGACTGCACCTGATTGTAAAAATGAAGAACAAATTAATAGAAATTTGTATTGGTTTCCTGTAAAATTTATTTAAAAAATAATAAAAATATAGAAAATGAGAATCAAGAGAAAAAGGAAAATAATTATTAAAAATTTTCACTGAAATAATATAAAAAAATAATCGTGGTTTGTTACTGTTAAGTTAAAAATGATACCAGTAAAAAAATAATTGATACCTGTGCATTTGTAAGAGAAGTTCAATTATGGGGAGGAGCGTGTCGTTGTTCAAGCAGGAACAATACGTAGCAAATAATCTGTCCAAAATTTTTAACGTGTGACCAATAACTTTTATCTTCCTTTCTTCCGCTTTGTCGAGGGAGTCCTACGTCAGTTAAAAATTTATACAAAAATCATTTTTACATGTTTCAAAATAATCAAAATAGTTTTTTATCTTCAACAGTCATTTCTCATGAAAGGAAGTCAGTTATCTGCCAGCTAATCGTTTATGAAGTCTGCGTAATTGATTAGTCTAGTGCACTATTTCAGATATACCAACGAGCGATAAAATATCGCACGCAGAGAAATATTTATAAAACTGCGCAACGAAGGAATGTATGATACCATACATGAAAAAAGAGTTTATCAGTAAACTGACTATTGCACCTGTTATTTGTTTGTATTTGAAATTTGAACCCACGTTTGACCATTTCAAATCCATCGAAGTGCACAACATTTTTTTTATAAGAAAATATTTTTATGAACGCATTGTGAGATAAAATGTACCTGAAGCAACGAGAGCATCCTAGTTGCATCTTTTGTCATTTCCACAAGATGAGAAGTAACGCAATCCGCTTTCATACGTTTTATGTGTAGTTCGTGCATGATTGCCAATTTACCAAACATTTTGGACGCGTCCACAAATGTTTTTGCGTCCAACTCATGAGATATAGTAACCAAGGACCCGATCAAATCGATCACTGTGGAAAAAATTAATATTGTAAACATATGATGAATATTATTATAAAATATCGGGTTTAAAGAGGTGAAGGTAAAATATTTAATAGTGGTATATTTAAAGAAATATGTAGACAGTAGTGAAGTGAGAATAAGCAGAACAATGGTGTCCTTTGACTTTCGTTTGACGCACTGGATAAGGAACGAATGGTTCGGGTTAAAGAATCGTTAAGACGTAATAGGATCGCTCACCTTTTATCAACAGTTCCGTTTCCGATTCCTTGTCCGTGTCGAAAACGATTACACTCTCCAAAGTGGCTAGGAATAGACTCAAGATCGTTTTCGCCTTGCGAAAGAGGATCGCTAATTTTTCTGATATAGCCTCGAATAAAGTTTCGTACAATTTCTTGCTGGAAAGAAAATCCTCACCCTCTATCACGAGGAAACACATCGACTAGCGATCGGGTTTAAAAATAAAGTTACTTCGTAAGATTTACCGCATAAAGATCTACATATAAGAGCATAGTTTCGTGCTGTTTCTCCAAAAAGTAAGATATCGACTTGCAATTGGGTCAAGAGTACAATTTCTTTTTAAGCTTCTAGAACATGGATCTATCTAGTTGTATTAAATGATATTGTTTCTTTGAAAACAAAATTTAATAATGTGCATTATTAAGCTTTAATAGTGTTATTAATTATATTGGTACTAGAATTTCAGTATTATGTCAAAATTGAATTTGATTACATAATTAATACATTTATTAGCACGCGTTGTTTTAACGCCTGTTGCATGCGTTGAAGTGCTATGCGGTGTAATACTACGCGTTATATCGCCACGCATTGCAATACTATGCTCTAAATTACCACGCGTTATATCGCCACACGTTGCAATGCCACGCGTTATATCGCCACACGTTGCAATACCACGCGTTATATTGCCACGCGTTGCAATGCCACGCGTTGTATTGCCATGCATTGCAATACCACGTGTCATATCGCCACGCGTTGCAATACCACACGTTATATCGCCATGCGTTGCAACGCTACGCGTTATATCGCCACACGTTGCAATACCACGCGTTATATCGCCACGCGTTGCAATACCACGCGTTATATCACCACGCGTTGCAATACCACGCGTTATATCGCCACGCGTTATATCGCCACGCGTTGCAATATCACGCGTTATATCGCCACGCGTTACAATACTTCGCTTTGAATTACCACGCGTTATATCGCCACGAATTATATTGCAATACAGTACGATACCTTACCCTCGCATTATATCACTACGCTTTATAGCACTATGCGTTATATCGCAAAATATTGTATTTCTGCTATATCGCCAAGTATCATATTACCATTCATATATTACAATAAGTTGCGGGCAATATAGTAAGAGTTTGTTTTAATTAAACAGTCATCTCACCTTTCTCGACAGTGCTCAAAGATTAATTTAATTGAAAGAAGCACATTTTCTATCAAGAATTTAAAACACATAGCAGATGTTTTTTGAAACGACGACACTCGTTCCAAAGATTTTTCTTTCACATTCAGCAATTCTTGACACATAAGTAATTGTCGTTTTATATTTTCTGTTGCATCTTCAGCATTTGTACTTATCGTTTCAGGGATCTGCTTCAAGATCTTCAAACGGGAATGTAAAAATAAGAAATAAGTCTTCAAATAGAATTCAATGACGATAATTCGAAATTAATTTACCTGCGATAAAAAGCGATGCACCAAAGGAAGTGTTTCGCTGAAAAGTTTTTCGTCCAGCGAATCGTCTGGACAAGAGGACAAACATTCTTGTAGAGCCTGCTGCAAGTGTTCCACCTCGAATTTCTCTGTGAGTTTCTCCAGAGCATCGTGAACATTATATTGGTTCAGAAAAATATTGTAATTGTTATCTGTAGTACTTTAATGCAAATAAAATTTGCAGAGATTTATAAAGGATATTTTTAATTTGGACGAATAATTCTCGAAGCTGTTGTCCGCATCGGAGAACGAATCTTCTAGCAAGGACGCAAACAAGTGCTCGTTTGCCATCTTCTGAAAGATTTACAAATTCGTATTTGCGATATCATAATATAAAATTTGATAAAATGTGTAACACTTTTATTCAAACTATAAGTTGTTTATATTTATAGCGAAGCATTCGTCAAACGGTTAACAAAATGATTGATAATGCTGTTTCTCGTGTCGCAGGCAAATCAACCGTCTATCAATCGCGATGAGATGGCTCGATCGCGAAATGGGGCCTCGAAAATTTCTTGGCAAGCTTCGCAAGTCGAACTATCCGGTGATCGAGCACGATAGACAGCAGTTTCTCCAGAAACAGGGATGGACAAACCCTTTTACAATACCGTTCATTAAAACGATTGAAGTTTCAAAATTCGACTTGATCATATTATAATCGAATCAGTGAAATAACTAATTCGGCCAAATAACCGATACGGTCAAATAACCGACTCGGTCAATTTGAGGATTCGGTCAAATAACAGATACGGTCAAGTAAATAACTCGGCCAAATAACCGATACGGCCTAATAACTAATTCGGCCAAATAACCGATACGGTCAAATAACCGACTCGGCCAAATAACCGATACGGTCAAATAACCGACTCGGCCAAATAACCGATACGGTCAAATAACCGACTCGGCCAAATAACCGATACGGTCAAATAACCGACTCGGCCAAATAACCGATACGGTCAAATAACCGACTCGGCCAAATAACCGATACGGTCAAATAACCGACTCGGCCAAATAACCGATACGGTCAAATAACCGACTCGGCCAAATAACCGATACGGTCAAATAACCGACTCGGCCAAATAACCGATACGGTCAAATAACCGACTCGGCCAAATAACCGATACGGTCAAATAACCGACTCGGCCAAATAACCGATACGGTCAAATAACCGACTCGGCCAAATAACCGATACGGTCAAATAACCGACTCGGCCAAATAACCGATACGGTCAAATAACCGACTCGGCCAAATAACCGATACGGTCAAATAACCGACTCGGCCAAATAACCGATACGGTCAAATAACCGACTCGGCCAAATAACCGATACGGTCAAATAACCGACTCGGCCAAATAACCGATACGGTCAAATAACCGACTCGGCCAAATAACCGATACGGTCAAATAACCGACTCTGGTCAAATAACCGACTCGGCCAAATAACCGATACGGTCAAGTAACCGACTCAGCTAAATAACCGATACGGCCTAATAACCAATTCGGTCAGATAACCAATTCGGTAAAATATCCAATTCGGTCAGACAGAAGATTCAGCCAAGTAAACGATAATACAGATTTGTGGATGCAAGTTGCCCGGCAGTTTGCCCATCCCTGGGCCATGCACATCGAAGTCAGTGATAAGAGGGGCAATTAAGGCTGCGAACGCTAATGGGCGGGCTCTCTTAATTTTCGGCTATTCGACGTGGCCGAGTTCCGGGGCAAAAGTTTCTCGTTTAAATCCTCCGTTAGAGGAGTGACTTCATGGACGAAGGAACGAGCAAGAAAGAGAGGAACGGATTCGAATGATCGGCGATGCCATGGTAACTCCGGACAACAAGCTGTCAGATGATAGGTAAAGTTTTGATCAATAATACCATGTGACTGCTGGCTGAATTCGAGTTCGGTGCTTCGGATGACACGTTTTTGCAAATCTGCAACATGTTTTGTAGGGGATGTCATATTTTTCCTCTTTGATTTTTTGCGAATTTTGTAAGGAAATCGAAGGTGACTTGAAAGCACCTTTATGTAAAGAATTGTTTCTAGGAGATTGGAAAGTATTTTGTATTATTTGTGGCAATTGTGCGAGCTTGAAGGTTTAATAGTAGGCTGACAAATAAATGACTTGCACTACTAGATCTGAGGATGTTCACTCTTACTTTCATTTTTTCAGTAACGCTAAAATTGTTTAATACAATTGACAGTGAAAGCTTTCACCGTTATAAGCTGATTACCAGTGACATACAGCTTTCTAAAAAATGTAGACACACAATCAAATATGTAATTAAAAATCTAATTTAATTTTAACATTCAAGTTCTAATTGAAAACATTTAAATCACTGCACATCAAATGTCAAAATATATAAAGTTTGATAAGACTTATTGCAGAATCGCATTTACGGCACATCAATTTGAAGTTTATGGTTTGATCAAAATGATTGCACAAACGCTTCGTTAGTGCTCGTAATACAAAATGGCTAGTTGCCAATTGCATGAAACAGTGACCTATTTAAAAACAGAGCCTATCACGATTTTATAACAGAAGTACAAAATAGCATTATATCGGCTTACAGTGACTGTATAAACATTTTATGAACATTCTTAATAAAATGAGTAATCTTTGTCACAAGCTGAAGAACGTTGTTCAAACATTATAATGTACGATGTAGCTACAGCGAATAATTATAATTATAATGATAATGGACAATCATGCATTCATATTTTATAAGAATAAGTATATAAGGAAGCTTTGGTCAGTAATAATTAAACCATCTCGATCTATAATAATCCTTGCATATTGCAGTAAATAATTAATATATTGTATACATGTGTTGTATTATAGGGATGTATACATATATTTTATTCTTAAGAAAATAACAAAATTAACCAACGCAATATTTATTTACATATGTTAGATATCTGCAAATGTTTTAGTTACATATGTTAGATATCTGCAAATGTTTTAGTTACATATGTTAGATATCTGCAAATGCTTTAGCTACATGTGTTAGATATTTCCTTAGATTTTAATTACATATGTCAGATATCTCATATTTTAACTATACATACATGTTAAATACCTCATCATACTTTAGTTACATATGTCAGATACCTCCTCATATTTTAGTTACATATGTTAGATGTCTTCTCAAATTTTAATTGCACATATTAGACATCTTATATTTTAACTACATATGTTAAATACTTCATTATACTTTAGTTACATATGTCAGATACCTCCTCATATTTTAGTTACATATGTTAGATGTCTTCTCAAATTTTAATTGCACATGTTATACATCTTATATTTTAACTACATATGTTAGATACTTCATTATACTTTAGTTACATATGTCACATACCTCATCATATTTTAGTTACATATGTTATATGTATATCTCTTCAGATATTTTCATAAAGAAATAAAAAGCAATTTGAACAACATTTAGCGTACAGTTGATCCCATCGCTATTTGCAAGATGGTGGTAGTATCGGGCGTCGTTCGAATTAAAGGGAGCAATACATCGTTCAACCACCCCACTGGTAGAGGGTGAAGGTGACGTTGGTGTTAGTGGCCTGAGGGTACATACGAGCACCAATTGCAAGTAGTAGGATAGTAACACGAAGGTGGATCGGTGAAATGGCAGTGGTGGTGAACGATCGTGTCAGAGGGCAATGGATGAAGTTAGTCAGTCGGCGTTTGCTCGCGCCGCCATCAGGATGGAACTTTATTCGTCGTCCCTTCGATTCGATCCTCCGTCTTAATCAACAACAAACACGTCGAGTGAGCGTCGATTACCTTCCAATGTTAGGATACCTTTCAGTAGTTGACACCCTTTTTTAGTGTGCTTTTTGAAATATCACTCTTGTGACATTTTATTTTCATTAAGTATTAGAAACCTTGTTATATTATTTGAAATTTACTTTGTTAAATTGTTGGAAATTTACTTTGTTAAATTGTTGGAAATTTACTTTGTTAAATTGTTAGAAATTAACTTTATTAAATTATTAGAAATTAACTTTATTAAATTGTTAGAAAGATACTTTGTCAAATTGTTAGAAAATAGCTTTTCGCTTGTTAGAAATTGTCAGAAAGATATGTGAAACTGTAGTGTAACTGTAAATAATTGAATTGTGTCCAAATAAATGTTTTATTATTTTTATTTGCACATGTTTACATTATAAATAATAAAGAGTTTGCTGAATGTTACCTAATTTCGAAATAAATTTAGTTTAATTTTAACAAGGATTTACTACAAGGATAGACTACTGCAAATTTTTAAGGAATTGATGTGTCAAGTATACAATGCATTTATTTAAAATATTTATATAAAATTAAAAAATTAGTTCGTTTAAAAATATTGATAATAAATTAACAAGTAACAATACCATACATAAAAATGCACTGTAGATACACTTGCAAAATGTGATAATTGTAACATAACTGTTTTATGTCAACTACCGATACAACTAAACGAATTTTCAAGTTATCATAAATTATAGAATGTAGCTACGATATCGAAACGTCGGAATGTCAGAGTCTGGAAAATCTGTGAGAGCAGTCAGGCAATTGTCTTTGCAACCACCCGCACCCAGACGACAACTTATCAGACGACAAAGGTCCGCGGAAGAAGAAAAATCTTTGCAGATTTGTGTGAGCTCGTTAGCACGTGGCAAACGCGGGACGAGCGCGAAACCCACCTTCGAAAGACCTAAGGTAATTTTTCAATTTTACACATTTTTTGCACTCGAAAATAGTATTTCTATAATTTAAACATTTTTTAATTTGTTTTCTCATATTTGCAAGTTTGTAATTTGACAAATCTCGAAATTTTTTATTTTGTACTCTTACAAATTTCTAGGTTTTCGAATTCACAAGCTCATAAATTTTTAGATTTTCAAGAGTTACAAGCTTATCAATTTTTAGATTTTCAGAAATCACAAGGTCATAAATTTTTACATTTTCAAAAGTCACAAACTCACAAATTTGCAGAATTCCAAATCAATTTCGTTCCAGCTAAACACTCTTGCCTAAACACTCATACCTACCACTTTTGTACCATAATTACAATTTTGAACCTTCACCACTCCACGAATTTCAGGTTCGAGTCGCCTGGAAAGAGAACCGTACAAAAAATGAGAAAGAAGTGGAGCAAGTTGAAGTGGTGGCTCGTCAAATCCCCGGACGATCCAGACCGAACACGGGGAGATCCCGTGGCTTCATCGCGATCGATAAACCATCGATCCTTTATTCCCGGGAAGAACTCGCGGAAAGGTTAAGGCTCGCCTGGAAACATCGGCAGGAGAACAAAGCCAACATCAATATTTTCCTGGCACACGGAACTTTGGAGGAGAGATGCGATTCTGAGATGTCGAGCCACGCGACCATCACTGCTCCATCATCTCCGATATTGAAGAACGATGGTAAACTCAAAACTACCCTTTCTGAAGAAGTGCAGGATTCACGTATCAAGGATGTTCAAGTATTGAGGACACAGGCTGGAAGTTATTGTGAAGACAAGAAAGAAAACGGGCTATCAGATTTTCAACGCCGTAACGGTGAAGTGGAGCGGATTGATATAAATGAAGTTTCAGGACGATTGAAGAAAATTGGACAAGAGAAAAGTGATGTACCAAAGGAGGCAATAAATGAAGTATATCTTTGTAATATTAACGAGAGAATTTTGGTTGAATTTTTAGTTCGAATTTTTAATCGTAAATTGTAGCTGTAAAGTATTCATAAAAATGAAAAATTTGAAAAAATGCAATTTTTAATCAAAGACGTAGGAGCACAACTTTTATATTATTCAGATAAAAGCATATTAGCATAACTATTGCAGTAAAATTTTTTCAAATATTTCTCTAAGTTCATAGTTAAAAAAAATCACAAACTGATGTGTGTCATGTTACTAACTTGAACTATATCCTAATATTGGAACAGGTATCGCCAAACACGAACATCGACGACTGTCTCCCGAATTCCAAGAAGAAGTCGATAAATATCGAATGTCTGAACCCCCGTATGAAAGCGTTACCATCGATTAAAATCGAAAACCTACCCTTGGAAGTTGAGAAAGTGTCGAAGGAGGATTTTTCATCGGCCAAACAGAAGCGTGCAAGTTTTCACAGTGGTACCAACAGGGCGTTCCTCGACCCAATTAAATCACCGACAATCGAATTCAGATGCAATTCGGAGAAAGATCGAACTACCCCGGAGACGAAGGACAAAATTCCGGTCACGAAAAATATTCCGCAAAAGACGGTCGCGGATTGCAAATCGAAGGAAAGTGGTCGCACGAAAATGTTTGCTGAAAGTAAAGAATCCTCGACAGACAATAAATCGCAGAGAACAAACGATGTTAATAAATATAATTTAACGATTAGGAGAGCTACTACGAATACGATAATGGATGATAAGGATAGTTTTGTGGTCGATAAAGTTGCGTCCACGAGAAATACCGTGGAAGTAAGATGTAGCTCGGTGAACGAGAGAAATGCACCCTCGAAGAAGATAGAAATTCAGAAGGTTGAAAAACCTAGAAGAACTAGCTCTGCACCTCCACAGAGACTGGAATCGAATTTATCCAATCGTGTTCAAGTTAATATCGTGATCGATACGCAAAATAATAAAGCCTCAGGGAGAAGCAGAGATCACGAAAAGACAGAAATTGATTGCAAGAATAACGCGATCGAGAGAACGGATACGAAGGTATGGTAAAAAAGATTGTATGAAAAGAAAATTTAAAAACTGTAACGATCAAATTTTACTGATAATTAACTAGTGCTTATACAGCTTATTAATTTACACATACTATTATTCTGATAATTTGTATTGTGATAACGTTAATACAGAGTGTCTTATAATTAGTGTCCCTGAAATAGAGGATAGTTGACGTGATTCTGAATAAGATTTCCCTTTGCAAAAATAGGGTTTGAAGCTTCGTTTTTGAATTATTAAGGAAAAGCACGCACCAATCAGAGTTGGAGGATTATGCACGCGCAGACGCGAGAACGGCAGCTTCGGATAACGCGTAGTTATCCAACGCGTGGTAATCCAACGTGTAGTAATGCAACGTGT